TCCCTGCTCACTGATACAGTATGTGTTGCTGCAACCACAACAGAGCTTTAATGGCATTCATGTATCTTTCCCCCTCAAGGTTAGGCTTGGACTTGATTCATACATTCATCACAATCCAAAACATCAAGTACTGAATCAGAAATGCCCCAGATTGCTGTCATGCCAACATTTTGTGATGCACTGGCTAACATGATAAAATAAGAAGGAAACATTCCTGCCTGAAACGATGCAATTTACCTTGAAAAAACAACGGCTCAGATGCAAAAAAGCAGCACTTTGTACCAGATAATGCAGATACTGTTTGCATTCAAAGTCTACTTTACTAACAGTTTTCTAAAGAGAGGTCACATTAATCTGTGGCATTATAGGTATGTTGTTGACAGATTCTTGCCAAAACCTTGCCTTGCTATGGAGTGGTGCAGGAATAAGTCCTAAAACCCCCAAAAGACTTTGCTTTTTAACACTTTTTCTACATGATTGGGGTTTAGACGCCTGAAATAAGGTCTGTGGTTAACACGAGCTGAAGAGATTTTAAAGTTTTGTTCTACGACATTAAATACATCGGCCCAATGGTGATTGTCCTAAGCTTTTATGTGTCATAAAACGTTGGTTGCTAAGAATTTGCTAAATGAGACTAAACGTCATCACACATTAGCCGCCGTTAGCTTAGCGGTGGTGATGTGAAATGCTACCGTGCTGTAGTTTGTTTTCAGCCTAACTTTAGCTTTTTACTTCAGCTGATTGTATTTACGCTTCAAAAAGGTTATCCTGCTGAAAAACACGTGTAAGTAACATAAATGTATGTTTGCCAAAGATCCTATTTTCTGCAATATACCCAAAAAATCCAATGAAAAATCTCATTGCTTTTTATCGAAAGCCTCGCCTAAGATGCTAACCCTCGGCATACACAAATATGTCATCACTATTTCCTTCAAATGATAAACATTCAGAATTACTATAGTTAATGACTTGGCAGACTAGACAAACCACAACGATCATTGGAGAAAATTCCAATTAGTTAAGTCTAACTTAACGGAGCGACACAAATCCTTCTTTGCAATTTAATGTCTGGAACAAGGTTTAGAAATTCAGACCTTTCCATCTGTCAGATTGGACTACATCACATTATGTGTTTATTCTGATGAGTTGCACTCCCTCAGGTTTTGGCTTGTGGTCTTGCTTCTGACAGGAGCAGCTCAGTGACTCACGGCTCAGCTCACACACTCTCACACAACACATTATATATTTCCCAAGGTGCTGCTGCCTGTGTCAGTGTGTGAGCCAACATCTAATAAGCAGCCGCAGCTGCAGCAGGAGACTAGAGACTAGGGAGGAAAGAGGACTGCAATTACACAAAGCGCCTAAAACACATTGCAATGTCTAAAAGAACACACATGGACTAGGGAGGAAAGAGGACTGCAATTACACAAAGCGCCTAAAACACATTGCAATGTTTAAAAGAACACACATGGACATCAAACCCTTCAAACAGCTTCTCTCCAAACGTTCCTGTCACATAATGTTTTGTCCTGATAAAAGAACATAATTCTTTATAAAGCTTTGGCAGATATGGCGGACATTTTAATTTAGCTGGATAGCTCGGCTGTGAATGCGTCGCCCGCCCACCTGTGAAGAGCTTTTGAAGCGTATTGGATGTGAGTGAGGAGAGCATGCCCGGCAACACTTTAGGTCCTTTAGATCTTTTTTGAGTAATTCAATAGGACCCTGGCAGCGGCTCAAACACAAAGACAGCATCCAACCGTGTCCTGGTTGCGCCAGAACACGACGATGTGAAATAAAATATTGAAAGTACCAATTGTTATTCCTTATAATATTTTGTTTATGTGTGAAATTGTCACGCTTTTCCCCTGATCAACAGTTGTTATGTCTAAAAGGTAACCCTAACCCTAACAAGTCAGGCTTTACTCTTATACTGCTTGTAGTTATACCTACAAAAATAAAACACTTAATTTCATAAATTCATGTAATCAGTTCATAAATATCCTTCGTTTTCAGGAAACAGGTGACATTGTATAAAGAGTAACAAACATGTAGGAAGTGAAGAGGGTCCAAAAACAAATGGCTTCATACCAAGAGATTGCTGCTTATATTCTGGAAACCAGAAGTGTTTGAGTTATTTAACTAATTTAACCCAAATCACAATCTTTCCTGAACATTATCAATGATTATTATTGCCCAAACTTAACTAATTGTTTACTTTACCCATCCTTTCCAATCTAAACAGGTTCATCAATTCAGTGGCTTTCGCACTAATCACTCGTTGTGTTGGACGTTGTAATGCACGAAAGATGGGTTAGGGTAAACCTAGAGCAACTAATTAACTTTTAATAAGATGATACAAACTGATACTAGCACAAGGACACATCAAAACCTGTATGGTAAAACTGCCTCATTAAGTATCGGATTTGCAAATGTTTGAAGGCACACATTGAGAGTTGACGATTAACATTAACTGTAACACGTGTTTTTACAAGGAAAATTATGAATGTGTGCCAGTGTTGTTTTGAACACATGCTTCTTTATCACTGTGTACATTACTCAATCTCACTTTACGATGTATCCAGTTTATTTAACTTTACACTGGCCTTTGTAAAAGATCTGCCCAATAAAAAAAGGCAACACGATGATGATTTAGCCAGTTAAAAAAGTAGAGATAAAAAGTGACAAGAACTCACTGGAACATCATGTTCTTGGTGCTTCTTGCAATTTCGCATGCCGTCATCTCGAAATGGCCCTGCACATAGCTCACTGCCCACACAGTTCACTCTTCATACAACAACATGACAGCAGTGAGGTAAGATTTGCAGTAAGATAAATGTATTCCTTTACAGTTTTATCTCTTCTCTGTGAGCTGTACTTTTCTGAAGGCTAATACTTTAATTGTGAATCGATACTTCTACTGCCTGAATCTGATTTTTGCTTTCGTTGCTTCATTTGTTCTGTTTCTAATTCAGCAGGTGAACCTATATGTTCATAACATAGTGTGTGTGAGCTTAACTGTGTGTATTAAACTAAAACGGAGCATTTTCTGTCAGCTCAGATTTAATTTCTGCTTTTTTAAACTGTAGTATGTGTTGGTGTATAAGCTACTGCCCGAATATGATGAATGAAAGGCAGGTTTTACTATCAATAAAATCATTTTTGATCATACATATCTTGGTTTCTTCTTTTCTAAGGTCACATTTTTCTGTTATCTTAAATAATACAAAAAACATCTTATTGATATTTATTTTCTATAGAGATAATCCAAAAGCAACCCAAAGTAATAAGGTTACATTACTTTTATATTGAGATACTCAGATTAGGTTACTGATTTAATTTCTTTACAGGTAACTACAGCAGTATTCGTAACGGATTACATTTCTAAAGTAACCCTCCTAACCCTATTTAAATGCGTGCTTAGGACCGATGGAGTCTCAGGTTGTGCAGATGATGGATTTATTTTGACAAAAATTGCTCGCTGAAGTGAAAGATTTAACCTTTTTCCTCGCTTGCCTGTAGACTCTCTGCTGCCAAAGAACTGCTCTCCATTTGCTGTGTTTGACCAAATATTTGAACGTGTTTGTTCCTCTGTGACCGGGTTTGGTGCTGGTGCCAGAGCTATTGTTTAACATGGTAGGGTCTATTTTCACATTATCATGGCTGAGTGGTGAATCATGGACTCAATAATAAGCTGCTTATGTAAACAGTATCATTGAGCTCAGCTGCAGCAGGGTAAGACAAAAGATTGCTACTTTGGACAATTACAGTATCAACTGTCCGCAAACGATCAACAGGTAATTTTAGTATCATCATGTGAGGTGATACATGGGCCTCTGCTAGTGGCAAAAGGAGAACTGGAAATAATATCATATTTGAAAATCCAAAAGAAGCCTTAAAGCTGGCAGTATGTTCAGTAACATGATGGCTATGTTTGGCACAGTACAATCTTTTAGTATTAATCATAAAGTCAATGCATTTCATCCAAAGCTTGTTATTGTTTTTTGACTATGGTAAGGTGCTGGGGTTTTTCAGTAGTACCAATATCCATCTGTAGTCAGAGCTGCATTAAGATGAAAGTACATTTGGATTAAAATGGTGTGACATAAAGAAAGAAACACAATATCTCTAATAATGCATATTGAAGCTTTTAAAGTAACACAATGGCTATGTTTGGCACAGTACGATCATTTTGTATCAATGATAAAGTCAATACAAATGAGGTCTAAAACTAAGTGTCCTGTATTTAATTTGAATTATGATTATGTTCTGGAAGTAAACAAAGAAGCCATTGCAGACCATGTTTATAGTAATTAAACAAAACTATTACAATGAACACATACAGTAAGTTCAGATTTCTGGGTGTTTTCAACACTCTCCACATACCATTAACTTCTCACTAACAGGTTGAAGTCTGCACTATTCAATAATGCGTGACAATGATAAGGAAACCGGGCACACACACACACACACACACACACACACACACACACACACACACACACACACACACACACACACACACACACACACACACACACACACACACACACACACACACACACACCACACACACACACACACACACACACACACACACACACACACACACACACACACACACACACACACACACACACACACACACACACACACACACACACACACACACACCACACACACACACACACACACACACACACCACACACACACACACACACACACACCACACACCCACACACACACACACACACACACACACACACACACACACACACACACACACACACACACACACACACACACACACACACACACACACACACACACACACACACACACACACACACACACACACACACACACACACACACACACACACACACACACACACACACACACACACCATTCCACCTGCAGAGCCTTATACTGTAGGTAAACAGTGCTGTGTGTACAGTGGCTATGGACAGACCTCTGTATGTTTAACTGGCTCTCTTACCTTACATTACTACTGTTCCAGGGTCAGTTTACATGCATGAGTCTCATCAGAGAGCAGAGGGTGGTTGGGTGACTGCGTAGATGTTCTTATGGCAGTGGTAGACACATGACAAATTAACACATATCTATTATGTTGTATTTCCTGTATTGCATGACTGTAGTTATAAGTGTTACTTCTGCATATAGTATATTTTTGTCATTTAACAACCATAGCCAGTAGTTTTTCATAAAGGAACAATATATGCTTCCAGGCAATCCTGTTATAAAACTTACATCAGTTTTACATTTTCTAAGTCATTATAAACTTAGACATTTAAGTTCCACATCAAGACAGAGCTTTACATCCAAAGTAACCAATTCGGAGACCCCCATGGAGCACAATAAGACCACTTGAGATGACCAATAAGATAACAAGGAATCCTTATTGTACAAACAATAACAAAAGCACTAGTTCAGCCTCAAATCGGCAACATATCCCCGTGTGTGTGTGTCTCCCCTGACCCAAGCTCTATGAAAAAGTGTGTGTGTCTGCAGCAGATATACTCACATTAGAGCACAGGTCATCCACACACACTCACAGGAGGGTTTGGGAGCGTAGCAGACTCCTGCCTCTCCACCTTCAGAGGTGTCACCCACACTCAGATAGAAATCCACAGGCAGTTGTGTCCCTGGGATGGCAGGAAGACGGAGAAAATGGAGCACAATCCTTCTGACAGATCACCCTTCAAACGTCCCTCTGAGCTCCAGATAACAGAGTAAACAAACAGAGATGCAGTGTAGACAGCTCAAGAGAGGAGAACTGCTGCTCATGAGGGCTTTATAAACAGACTGTGACTCCTCCCACTCCAGGCCCTCCCTCGTTGGTATGGCAACAGCCAATCAGCACTCGGTATAGCACCAGCCTCTTCCTCCTCCTCCTCCTCCTCTTCAGCCAGCCTCTAGTGTTGACAGAAGTATGAAGAATAAAAGTGTATAATATGTATGTTTCAGTGCTGGAAAGTAACTTAGTACATCTACTCAAGTACTGTTTTTAAGTACAGTTAGATGTACATGTATTTTTATGCTCCTTCATAATATGATTTGGAAGAAAATATGCAACTTTTTACTTCACTTGACAATATTAGTTAGTATGCAGGTTCATATTATTATTACAAAAATTAAATTGACTAATGAAATATGACGTATTCTGGATTAAGATACCCGGGAGTATAAAAAGTCATGGATTTACACTTTTACCAGCAGATAAATGTAAACATTGTATGTAAATATTTTCACATTCATGGATTATAATTAGAATCCAGTGATATAATATAGGTATATTTTATTCAGAAAAAAGACTGCATGGAAGCGTAGCCATTCTGCATAATGAGTACTTTGAGTTTGGTACTTCATTTTAGAGTTCATTTTTGTATTTATGTCTCTACTGTGACATGTTTCCATGCTTTAATGTTCAAAAAAGGTCTTTATTTTTCTCTGCTCTGAATGGTTAGCTGGCCGCTACATTTTAAAGTTGCTATGACACATATGTTTGTGTTTGCGTGTGTTTTGTGCATGCCTTCGTGTGTGTGTGTTTTGAATGTGCATGAGTGTTTGTGTGTTACTCGTATACAGCTGTGTGAGTCCTTGCTCTTTTGTGCATTAAGGCATGTGTATCAGTGATACATATTTGTGTACTGTGTGTGTTCGTGCGTGTGTGATTGTGCATAAATATGTGAAACCCACAAATCCACCAGCAGCGATGCATGTAAACATCTGTGTGCATGTGCTCCCATGTGTAGGTGGGAAAATGTGTGTGCACATGTTTGCGTGTATGTTTCTTTAATTAATGAAACATGCAGCATTTCGGTGTGATAACAGTGTCCCTGTTGGTAATTCCATTATCACGAGTAGCCTATGTATAACAGTGTGAAAGTTAAAAAGCACAGAGAGAAGCTGATGTCTTCTAACATCGTAATCCTGCTAGTAATCCCCATGTTTGGGAAATGTACCAGTAATCTGATTGCGTAACTGATAGGAATTACAGTTACCCCTTTTTTGTATCCAAATACGTAATCCTGTTACATGTATCCATTACTCCTCAAACCGTACTCTATTTCGAGGCATGTGCACACCTTTCTTTGGAACTAACACTTGCAGAACACTTGTGAAGTCGACGTTACATTGCCCAGACCAGGTGTGATCTCTAACGGGGAGTAACATTCACACATCTGAGACCTTTTCAATCTGCTTTTTATTGCTGTGAGATGATAGCAAAAGGCCTCCAAAGCTTGTTTTTTTTTGCTAAAATGTGAGATGTTACACGTAATATAAATATATATAACATAAACAAATAGTAAGAGTGACCTATAGTTTATCAAAAATGCATATTACTGAGTAGAGTTTATTTTTTCCAAGTTTCAAGTTTCAAGTTTCAAGGCTTTTATTATCATTTGTGCCTAGCTACAGTGTAGTTATGACAATGACAATCTTAGGTCATATAGGCTCCTCCAACAGTGCAACACATTACATTACATTTCATTTAGCTGATGCTTTTATCCAAAGCGACTTACAATAAGTGCATTTGACCAAGAAGATACAACTTGAAGAAAACAGAATCATATAAGTACATTAGGTTTCATAGAGCCAAACCATTTTAAGGGCTACTCAACTGGCTTTAGATCAGCCAGTACTTAGTTAGTATATAAGTGCTTTGTTAGTATGTGAGAGCTTTTTATTAATTTTTTTAATCTTTTTTTTTATTGCTCGAAGTGGAGTCGAAAGAGATGAGTTTTCAGTCTGCGCCAGAAGATGTGTAAGCTTTCTGCTGTCCTGATGTCAATGGGGAGCTCATTCCACCATTTTGGAGCCAGGATAGCAAACCGACGTGTTTTTGCTGATGGGAACTTGGGTCCCCCTCGCAGTGAGGATGCAGCGAGCCGTTTGGCTGATGCAGAGCGGAGTGCACATTCTGGGGTGTATGGTTTAATCATGTCCTGGATGTAGGAAGGGCCAGAACCATTCACAGCATGGTACGCTACCAGTGTCTTGAAGTGGATTCTAGCAGTTACTGGAAGCCAGTGAAGGGAGCGGAGGAGCGGTGTGGTGTGGGAACATTTTGGAAGGTTGAAGACCAGACGAGCCACTGCATTCTGGATGAGCTGCAGAGGTCGGATGGCACATGCAGGTAGACCAGCCAGGAGGGAGTTGCAGTAGTCTAGGCGTGAGATGACGAGAGCCTGGACCAGAAGTTGCGTCGCTTTCTGGGTCAGGAGGGGACGTATCCTCCTGATGTTGTAAAGAGTGTATCTGCAGCAGCGGGTTGTTGCAGCGATGTTTGCAGTGAAGGACAGTTTGTTATCTAGGGTCACACCCAGATTCCTTGCAGTCTGAGTCGGGGAAACAACAGAGAGGCCGATGTTGATTGTTAGGTCAAGAGTGGGACAATCTTTTCCCGGAAGAAAAAGCAGTTCAGTCTTGTCAAGGTTGAGCTTCAGGAGGTGAGCAGACATCCACCGAGAGATGTCTGCTAGACAAGCAGAGATGCGTGCCACAACCTGGGTTTCAGAACGGGGAAAAGACAACATTAATTGAGTGTCGTCAGCATAGCAATGGTATGAAAAACCATGCGGGCTAATGACAGATCCGAGCGAGTTTGTGTACAGAGAGAAGAGGAGGGGACCGAGGACAGAGCCCTGAGGGACCCCTGTAGCTAGTTGACAAGGGTCGGACTCGGACCCTCTCCAAGTTACCCTGTAGGTGCGGTCTTTGAGGTAGGAGGTGAGGAGGGAAAGTGCAGAGCCTGAAACTCCAAGTTCTTGGAGAGTGTGAAGGAGGATCTGATGGTTCACCGGGTCTGGAATATATTGCGATATGAACAGGGTTGGGAGGGTTACTTTGTAAATGTAATCAGTTACTGATTACTGAATCATGGACAGAATCTACTTTGAAAACAGTATCATCTAGGAAGCTGCAAGTCCATACATCAGGGAACATTTTGGGTCGGATCACCGCTTCTTCCAAGACAATGACCCGAAACACAGCGAGGCTGCAGCTGCAATTGCGGCTGAGGGAATAAACTGGGTTAAAACTCCACCCGAATCTCCGGATTTGAATCCCATCGAGTTGGTCTGGCACTTGATGAAAGACTTCATTCGGAAGGAGGCTAAACCAGGCTCGAAGCAGGAGCTGATGCAAGCGATACAGGATTTTTGAAAGACAAGACTGACCCAAGATACCTGTAGTCGACTAATTACAGGCCTCAATAAAGTTCTGTCATTGGTTGTGCAAAATAACGGTGGACATAGTGGAAAGTGAAATTGACATTGTCAAATTTATTAAAAATACAAAATAATGTATCTGTGTACGTGTTTTACTATGTGATCTGCATGCACTTATCAAACATTTAATTAAAGAATGGTGATATACACAGCTGTGATGCAGCGGGAGGAGCAAAACACACACTTCAAGTCAGATCATCACCCTTAGCTATTTCAATTACCTCTCAAACAACCTAAACTAGTTATAAATGTTTATTTTTACTGTCGGCCGGGTCACTCATTACTGGATCAGCTGCTGCATGAGACAGACACTGAAAAGTATTATCATCTGAAATTAATCATTATGTTATTAGTATTAAATACATATAAGTATTTTTACAGCTTGTATTTAGAAATACTCTGTTGTAATTATTGATGCATACATGTGTTCATCCATTCAATGTGGCATCTGCTATAATGGGGTTAATGTATGATATTACTTAATAATACAATACACTATATAATATATGTGACCCGCTCTATCGAAATCAGTCGGAAGTCGCAACGGCTCATTTCAAAATAAACGTGGATTTGCGTAAAAAACTATTTTTTTGGGGTTCGGGTGTTTTGTTTGATTTTAAATAAACAAAGTCTTGGCTTTCAGAATATGAAACTTTTATTTCCAAAATCACACGATAAATACATTTGTGAAGCTTGTAAAGGGAAGAGGACAGGCACCTCTCACTCGCAATCTGCTCTTCCGCAGCGCCGCCCCCCTCCCTCCGGCTAAAATTATGAATGTAAGGCATATAGTAATCATAGATAACACGGCAGGGTCCGTTACAGTTTGTTTTCATCTGATTTCAAATAAACAAAGTCTTGGCTTTCAGAATATTAAACTTGTTTCGGCAAATTTAGATGATAAATACAACTATGAAGCTTGTAACGGCATAATTACAAGCGGAGAACGGAGTAATTTAACGTTACAGCAGGCATAACAACAGCCGGTGTTTCTCGTGAGTGTTTTCCCCGGGAAACAAACACAATATACACTTACGCAAAAATACACAAACACACACACACACATACACTCGCGAGCTTCCCCCAGACCAGTAATCCAAACGGAAATATTTTCCCTCCGGACTATTTTGATCATTTGCTCCGCTAATAATCAATCAGATCGATGGATTACAGAGAAGAGGAAACTTTGAATGCCTTTTTCTCAAAATGATGACTCGGTGATATAATGTGACATATTTTGCTTAATATTTGGAGTACAAAAACAATCCTGATATCATTAGAAAGCTAGGAATATCCTCTTTCCAACAGTGTATACAACTCAAAATGTGTCACTCATTACTGGATCAGCTGCTGCATGAGACAGACACTGACGCTGTCAGAAGAGAGGGAGGACAAAGAGAGGCCAGGCTCTGTGTATTTTATTATTATATATAGTCGTTATTCATTTGTTTTAAAGCTCAATAAGGAAGATTTAAACTTTAACACACGTTGACCGGCGAAAAACTCTGCCCGGTTCCCTCGGCCC